GTGCGGGGTCGGGCTCGGCCAGTCCCGGCCGGCTCCGGGAGAGCCTGGCCCGAATTCCTGCCTCCACCCTCTTTTTCGCCGCGAAGGTGACTGTTCCCCTTTGCCCCAGCCCTCTCAGACCCACCCGCGGATTCCCAGGCGTCGGGAGACACGGAAAGGAGTGGGGTCTGGTGGAGGCCCCGGGCGTATCGCTCTCCAGGCCGCCCTCCGCGGGCCTGCCCCGGCCACCGCTTTAGCGTCGGAGAGAAGGATTTGGGGAGAAAGGTTTAACAGCCTGCGACTTCCTTGCTGAACTTTTCCCCCCCAAGACAGGCTGCCGAAAGCTGCGCCATTGGAGGGATCCGGGACCTCTGACTACTCGGGTTTGGCCCTGGCATGTGTGGGAGCAGTTTTTATTAGAGAGAATGCTCAGTTTGCAAGTTAATTTCGAGCCTCCAGCCACGTCAGGAAAGTAAGAAAGATTCTAAGTGTCTCACCTCCCCGGCGTTAGGCAATAGAGTTGTGTAGAATGCTAGCTGTGATAGGTGGCTTCTCTAGGTTTGCGGCCAGTCTGTGAAATTGGTTTTTGTTGATTAAGAGAATTGGATGGTTAAGGCTGTTTTCTCCTGCTGCTCTAGAAAGTAGTAGGAAGAGCTCTCCCCATTCCTCCTCCACCCCCCGACCAAGTTACAGAATGCCGAGGGTGAGGTATTCTTGGGTTAAACTGCTTTATCTTTGTGGATACTTCATGAACCTGCCTTTTAAACTTCTGAAAATAGTGAAGCACTTGCCTAAACCTGAGTCTCTTTTTTCAATAGTGAAGCACTATGCTAAACCTCAGTCTCTTTTTTTCCCGTTTTGTTACATCTACAACAAGTAAATGTACGTGCTAGAGCATATGATTCCTGTGGGCTTGTTTGCATTTATGTTTAGAGAGCAATACTAGGATTAAAAACGTGTTTATTGTTATTATTATTTTTCGAGACGGAGCCTCGCTTTGTCGCCCAGGCTGGAGTACAGTGGCGCGATTTCGGCTCACTGCAACCTCCGCCTCCCGAGTTCACACCACTCTCCTGACAGCCTCCGGAGTAGCTGGGACTACAGGCGCCCGCCACCACGCCCGGCTAATTTTTTGTATTTTTAGTAGAGACGGGGTTTCACCTTGTTAGCCAGGATGGTCTCGATCTCCTGACCTCGTGATCCGACCGCCTCCTGACCTCGTGATCCGCCTCTCTCGGCCTCCCAAAGTGCTGGGATTACAGGCATGAGTCGCCGTGCCCGGTCTATTGTTATTATTTTTTTGAGGTAGGATCTCACTCTTTTGTCCAGGCTGGAGTGCAGTGGAGGGATCTCAGCTCACCGTAGCCTCCACCTCCTGTGCTCAAGTGATCCTCCCACCTTAGCCTTCCCAGTAGCTGGAATTACAGACCTGCACCACAACACCTGGCTATTTTTTGTATGTTTTATAGAGACAGGGTTTTGCCATGTTGCCCATGCTGATCTTGAACTCCTGGCCTCAAGCAGCCCTCCCGCCTCAGCCTCCCAAAGTGCTGGGATTATAGGCGTGAGCCACTGCACCTGGCCTATGCTTGGATTTTATATAGCATTCCATTTGTGTACTTAATAACATTCTCACGAATTCTGTCACTTTTCCACTGAAATGTTTAGTGGTTACTTTTGACAATGGTAATAGATACTTAAAAAAAAATCCAGATATTTGCTTGTTATACTTGTTATCTTGTTATACTTGCTGTTCAGTAATTTCATGGAGCTCAGAGAGTGGTTTCTTTTTTTTTTTTTTCTTTTTTTTGAGATGGAGTCTCTCGCTCTGTCGCCCAGCCTGCAGTGCAGTGGTGTGATCTGGGCTCACTGCAAGCTCCACCTCCCGGGCTCACGCCATACTCCTGCCTCAGCCTCCCAAGTAGCTGGGACTACAGGCACTCGCCACCATGCCCGGCTAATTTTTTGTGTTATTAGTAGAGATGGGGTTTCACCGTGTTAGCCAGGATGGTCTCGATCTGCTGACCTCATGATCTGCCCGCCTTGGCCTCCCAAAGTGCTGGGATTACAGGCGTGAGCCACTGCTCCTGGCCGAGAGTGGTTTCTAAGGTCCTGTATTATTCTTAATTCTTGAGTTCCCAGTTCTTGGTATTTTGAGAGTATGTCACAATCTTTCCATCAGCATCCAGGGAAAGTTCCCTTATGGAACTTTTTTCTAATCATAATTCCATCATCACAGTAGCAGTTAGTGTCAGTATTCTAGTACGATAGTCTGAGCAGTAGTTTGGTAACTCTGCGAGCTACTCTCGGTGAGTTGGTGAGGATCGGTGAAGTTGAAGAATGTGGAAGGAACTGCTTACTGTTTAATTTACCAGCAGGTATGTTATTTGGTAATTGGTATCCTGAAGAAGAGAATTGTCCTGGTCAAGTTTAAAGTCGAGAGTCGCATTTTTTTTCTCCAGAGATATCCAGGACTGATGATTGTTATAATACCCCCCTTTTTCTCCTTTTTTACTTTTTCCCCCTGCTGTTATGTTAGAAGAACTTAGCCACCCAGGAAAAAAGTTAAAGGCAGAAGAAAAAGCTGAGGTGGATTCACAGGCTCGCTCTATATGAAAAGGTTGTAGAGATCTTTTGTTCTGACAATAATGAGGTAGTTTGGGGTCTTGGATTTCTGAATATGACTGGGGTAACACATAAGGAGATGGGTTCCCCCATTTCCCTCACCCAAGTGTAGGTAGCACCAACGCAATTAGGTCCTTAGCCTTGTGAATTGTTGAACAAGTGTTGTAAACCCAGAATTTCTCCTTCTACAGAAATGTCCTTCCTTGCCTACCAATATTAGCATTTGGATGTGTAATTCTTGCTTGACTTTTTTTTGTTACTTAACCAGAATGACAGTCTTTCCCCCTCCTTCCTTCTTTATGCTTATCTTCTACCTTTCCCTCCCAAACTCTCTCCCCAACATAACAGAAAACATGAAGGAATTAAAGGAGGCCAGGCCACGCAAAGATAACAGGCGTCCAGATCTGGAAATCTATAAGCCTGGCCTTTCTCGGCTAAGGAACAAGCCCAAAATCAAGGAACCCTCTGGGAGTGAGGAATTCAAAGATGAAATCGTTAATAACCGAGATTCCTCTGCTGTTGAAAACGGTACTCAGCCCGTTAAAGATGTCTGTAAGGAACTGAACAGCCAACAGCAGAATGGTCCTATAGACCCAGAAAATAATCGGGGACAAGAATCCTTTCCTAGGACTGCTGGACAAGAGGATCGTAGTCTCAAAATTATCAAAAGAACAAAGAAGCCAGACCTGCAGATCTATCAGCCTGGACGACGTTTGCAGACTGTTAGCAAAGAATCAGCCAGTCGGGTGGAGGAGGAAGAAATCCTCAACCAGGTAGAGCAACTGAGAGTAGAGGAAGATGAGTGTAGGGGAAATACTGCGAAAGAGGAAGTTGTGAATAAACCAGACAGGGCTGAGACAGAAAAGAACCCAGGTGGTGACAGAGTAAGGGCTGCAAAGGGAGAAAAAGGAAAGAGGACTGAAAAAGGGGAGGGGATGAGGAAAACCAATGATGACCCGGCCCAGGGGAAGCCAGGTTCTGCAAAGCGCTACTCCCGGTCAGACAAACGAAGGAATCGCTACCGCACGTGCAGTACCAGCTCAGCTGGCAGCAACAACAGCGCTGAGGGAGCTGGCCTGACTGATAATGGATGTCGCCGCCGCCGACAGGATAGGACCAAGGAGAGGCCACGACTGAAGAAGCAAGTGTCTGTGTCCTCAACCGATTCCTTAGATGAGGACAGAATTGATGAGCCTGATGGATTAGGACCCAGGAGAAGTTCAGAAAGGAAGAAACATTTAGAAAGAAACTGGTCTGGCCGTGGGGAGGGTGAGCAGAAAAGCAATGGTAAAGAAAATCGAGGCACTCTTCGTGTCACTTTTGATGCGGAAGCCATGAACAAAGAGTCTCCCGTGGTGAAGTCAGCCAGGGATGATGTGGATAGAGGAAAGCCTGACAAAGGCTTCAGCAGTGGGGGCAAAGGCTCTGAGAAGCAGGAGTCCAAAAACCCGAAACAAGAACTTCGGGGTCGTGGTCGTGGCATTCTGATTCTGCCTGCCCATACCACCCTATCTGTCAGTTCAGCAGGCTCTCCAGAGTCCGCACCTTCGGGGCCTCGGCTTTTGTTTGGATCTGGTGGTAAGGGACCTCGGAGTTGGGGCCGTGGAGGCACCACACGCCGGTTGTGGGACCCCAACAATCCTGATCAGAAACCTGCTCTGAAGACTCAGGCGCCCCAGCTGCATTTCTTGGACACCGATGATGAAATCAGTCCTACGTCTTGGGGTGACTCACGCCAGGCTCAAGCATCTTACTATAAGTTTCAAAACTCTGACAACCCCTATTATTACCCCCGGACACCAGGCCCTGCCTCCCAGTATCCCTATACGGGCTATAACCCTCTGCAGTACCCCGTGGGCCCTACAAATGGTGTGTACCCAGGGCCTTACTACCCAGGCTACCCGACTCCATCAGGACAGTATGTATGTAGCCCTCTACCTGCCAGCACCATGAGTCCCGAGGAGGTGGAGCAGCACATGAGGAACCTGCAGCAACAGGAGCTGCACAGGCTTCTCCGGGTGGCTGACAACCAGGAGCTGCAGCTCAGCAACCTGCTCTCCAGGGACCGCATCAGTCCAGAGGGCCTGGAGAAGATGGCGCAACTCAGGTATGATGTGTTCTATTCTGGCTGGAGGGAAATGGGGATCAGCTGGAGGTGTATAGATTCCTATGGCTGAGGAAGGTAGAAACTTTTTAGCTAAGCCGCTGGGTATTATCTCCTTTTCCCTTTGTAAGGGAAGGACAGTTGGAAACAGAACAGAAGTTTTATTTTCTAGTCTTAGAAAAGATTATGCATCCTACTTTTTCTTTAAGAAAAAATTATCTTTAAGGGATCATGGAATCTTGAAATGTAAAAAGACTTTCTAGAATGTCAAGAAATGAACAGCATATAGCTTGCAGTGAAGATCTTACTTCAGTTGTTAAATTTAGGTGAAGACATATGGGAAAAAACTATTTTCCTAGACACAAGTATCTTTAGAATGACGTTCTGCTCTGCAGACTGGAAACCAGAGAGAGTAGTATGCCTACCTGGTCACAGTTTTGATTTCCTGCCAAGGGAGGTGGTTAATTTGCTGGAATCTCAAAACTTGGGTCTAGCCCTTTCTATGGTATATTTGGAGCTGGAAGTTGCATGTATTTTATTCCAGAGCTGAACTGCTGCAGCTATATGAGCGCTGTATTCTATTAGATATTGAGTTCTCTGATAATCAGAATGTGGATCAGATCCTGTGGAAGAATGCTTTCTATCAGGTGATTGAGAAGTTCAGGCAACTTGTCAAGGATCCGAATGTTGAGAACCCAGAACAGATTCGGAACAGACTTTTGGAGCTCTTGGATGAGGTAAACTGTCATCTTTTTGTCCTCGGGGTAAAGGCTTCAGCATTCTGTAGTTATGATGGATTTTTACTACCTGAAATACCGTCTTTTAGAACAGAATATCGACAAAAAAACTATGCCCTTTTCTTGGGTTCTGAGCCTACACTACTCCAGTTGCTTCCTTGGGACCGTAAATTACTGACAATTGGAGTTTTGAGGTTGAAAGCTTTCTGAATGCCTTGGCCTAAAAGAGAGAGAATGAAAATGTGTATATATGTGTTTGTGTTTGTGTTTGTGTTTGTGTGGAGAGAGAGAGTGTGTGTGTGTGTGCATGTGTTCATATCTTTGAAGAAGGCTTAGACTGAATTTGTCCTGCGCTCAAATTGGTGGCCACTAAATATTATGCATGTCTCCCTTTTCATAGGATATCTGAACATTAGCAGAACTGTGAAAGGGTTGTCTGCCCCGGTTTTTGGTGGATAGGTTGGATCAGAATAGGTTAATTCAGTAATTTCTTTTTTTCTTTTTATAGGGTAGTGACTTCTTTGATAGTTTGCTTCAGAAGCTGCAGGTTACTTACAAGTTCAAACTGGAAGACTACATGGATGGTCTTGCCATTCGCAGCAAGCCATTACGCAAGACAGTAAGCTACCTTCTTTATTTATCTTAAAATTTTCATTCATTTAGTAAGCATTTATCTAGTGTTATGTGCTAGAGACTCTACTGGGTGTTGAGGATAAAAGAATGAAAGGTATAGTTCAGTGCGGGGCAGATAGATTAAACCAGCAGTTGTGGTGTCATGTGTACTATGGTAGTGGCATATAGCAGTGCTCCCCAGCCTGCCTTCTTTCTTTATTTTATTTTTTTCCCTTTTTTGAGATGGAGTTTCATTCTTGTCACCCAGGCTGGAGCGCAGTGGTGTGATCTCGGCTCACTGCAACCTTCAACCTCTGCCTCTCAGGTTTAAGCAGTTCTGCTGTGTCAGTCTCCCGAGTAGCTGGGATTACAGGTGCCCACCGCCAAGCCTGGCTAATTTTTGTATGTTTTGTAGGATGGGGTTTCATCATGTTGCCCAGGCTGGTCTTGAACTTTTGACCTTTGGTGATCCACCCACCTCAGCCTCCCAAAGTGCTGAGATTGCAGGCATGAGCCACTGGGCCTGGCTAGTCTCTAGCCTTTTTGGTGCTAGGGACTGGTTTCGTGGAAGACAGTTTTTCCATGGATGGGGATGTGGGGGCATTAGATTCTCATAAAGAGTGCATAGCCTAAGTCCCTCACATGCTTAGTTCGCAATAGGGTTTGCGCACCTGTGAGACCTAATACCACCGCTGATCTGACAGGAGGTAGGGTTCAGATGGTGTGGCTGGTAGTCCAGGGGAGTGGCTGTAAAGGAAGAGATTGGTTCAGGTTTGGATATGTTTATGTGCTAGCCCGCCCACCGCTCAGACCAGAGACTGGTACCAGTCTGCAGCCTGAGGGTTGGGGACCCCGGTATAGAGTGTTGAAGGGCCATAGAGAGAAGTGAATCTAACTTAGCCTGGTGGGGCCAAGGAAGGCTTCGTGGAGATTGTCAAGCTGAGTTTTGAAACATGACTAGGGGTTTGCAGATGGGAGGAGCAGTTTAGATAGAGGGTCCAGCAAAAGAGAAACAGGCATTGTTGGGAAAGTACAGGAAGTTCAGTGTGCTGGTGTTTGTAGTGTGGAGGGGCTATCGCAGGTGGAAGGGCTAACGAAGGGGGAAGTGACTAGGTCATAAGCTCTCATCTGCTGTGCCAAAGAGTTTGGACTTCATTCTGAAAGCTCCGGGGAACCATTAATTGCTTTTTTAGTAAATGGATAAGGTAGGTTTTTTCTTAGAACCGGTCACTTGGGCAGATTGGTGAGTTTGGATGGGAGTTGGAGGAGAGTGGAGATAGAGGAGTCAGGTTGTAGGTCTGAACTCAGATAGAGGTCGTGGAGATGGGAAAGAGAAGACAGATTGGAAAGAAAAGAAATAGAATGGAAGTGTTGACTGATTTGGTATGAGGGATGGATGAGATTGGAGGCGTGGAGAGTCTGAATCATCTCCCAGCTGGTAGTCCAGGGGAGTGGCTGTAAAGGAAGAGATTGATTCAGGTTTGGATATGCTTAGGTGGAAGTGTGTGTGTTGCAGGAACTTGAACAAATGAATATTGTGGTCTCTCTGGAGGTCAGGAGAAAGCTGGGCTGGTGTTACAGATCATGAGTCATCATGATATAGGTGGTGGTTGAGGCGAAAGTTGGGGTACTGGGAAGACTGGCAAGAGATGGGGGTTACATTTCAAGGTGGGGGTAGGTAAAATTGTCAAGTGCAATGGAGCTGTCAAATGATAAGATGACTAAAAAGTGTCCATTGGATTGGATGAACTTATCAAGAGTTAATTTAGTTGGGGAGACTGGAAGCCAGATTGTAGCGAAGAGGGATAAAGCAGTAGAGATTGCGAGAGAGTAATATAGACCATTCTTTTAAGCATCTTGGCTGTGAAGGCAAGGAGGGAAGACAGCTGAAAGAACATAGAGTTCTAAGAGAAGATTTTTTTCTTCTTTGTTTTTCGTTTTTTTTTTTTTCCTTCTGTACCATGCCTGGTCAGTTTTTGTTTTAAGATGGGAAACTTGAGCATATTTAGGAAGAGGTTAGAGATTCATTACAGAAAGCAGTGTGATTTATGGAGCAGTGGCTTCCTCTTGCCTTTTTGCTCCTTATGATAAATTACTACATACAAGCTTTCTTACTGATGGACAAATGTTTTTAGCTGGGCGCAGTGGCTCACTCCTTAATCCCAGCCCTTTGGGAGGCCAAGGCAGGCAGATCACCTGAGGTCAGGAGTTTGACATGAGCCTGGCCCAATATGGCAAAACCCCATCTCTACTAAAAATTCAAGAATTAGCCAGGTGTGGTGGTGCATGCCTGTAGTGCCAGCTACTCAGGAGGCTGAGACAGGGGAATCGCTTAAACCCAGGAGGCAGTGGTTGCAGTGAGCCAAGACTGCGTTATTGCACTCTAGCCTGGGCAACAAAGTGAGACTCTATCGCGCAAAAAAAAAAAAAAAAAAGTGTTTATTGAGTTCCTCTCACATGCTTGGTGGCATTTTAGGCAGAGGCAATTCAGTGCAGATTGAAAAAAATCAATCTGCATAATCTCAGATTATGCAAAAATCAATCTGGAGGCATAATCTCTTTGTGCTTTATCGGTTAAATACAGAGGATTCTTAACACCTTTGGGGATGTTCATTCATAGAATTTGTGGAATAGTTAGGACTTAGGGGATATGTGGTATGTAGTGATATGTAACTTTGCTGAGATACAAATTTGAGTTACATGCTAGGTAGGAGGTTAATGTGCAGTAGCTAGTTTGCTTAGTGAGTGTGCCTTCCTGAGGGGTCAGTATCTCCTTCTCAATGAAGCTTTACTCTTTGTTCAGTGGTATGTTAATTTCTTCCGTGTGCAGTGGAGTGGATTATATTGTGTGCTGTGAAGTGGTGTTCCTTAGGGAGATATTTTGGTGGGCATATGTCTTGGGATTGGTTTACTCTGTTTTCTGAGTGACAGATGCCAAGCCTATCAGTGAGAAAACATATAGTACTGCACAGTGTGGCATGTTGTTAATGTTTGATAAAACGATTCATTGTTTTAGGCGAAGGTAATATAATGCCGTGGTACAATTCTGTGATATTAACAGTTTGAAGAAAAACTGTAATGATGGCAAAAAAAGAATAGGGTGGCTGGGCGTGATGGCTCACGCCTGTAATCGCAGCACTTTGGGAGGCTGAGGCAGGCAGATCACTTGAGGCCAGGAGTTTGAGACCAGCCTGAGCAACATGGTGAAACCCTGTCTCTATTAAAAATACAAAAATTAGCTGGGCATGGTGGTGCATGCCTATCATCCCAGAACTCAGGAGGCTGAGACACAAGAATCACTTGGGCTCAGGAGGTGGAGGTTGCAGTGAGCCGAGATCGCGCCGCTATACTCCAGCCTGGGCAACAGAGTGAGACTCTGTCTCAGAAATTATTAGGGGGAGAAAAAAGAACAGAGTAAACAATTGTCTTCATATTTGTATGTCTCTTTATAGTTTATAAAATATTTTTACATTTATTTCCTCCAGGTACCCTATAGAATAGTTATTTCTACATTCAGATGAAGAAACTGAGTCCCAGAGCATCTCAAAGACTTCCTTGAGATCAAACACTATTCCATAGAGTCAGGTCTCCTGACTACTAATATCGAAATGTTTTCTTTCATTTGCCTGGGACTCAAGAATCTCCCTTTCTCTTTCTCAGTAAATTTTGTGTCACACTGTTGACTGTCTTTTTGGTAGTCAGGTTTAGGCTGAAAACTTTAAACTTTGTGGAGGACTGCTAGTGCCTTACCAGTGCTACATTGTCATTTTCACCCCTTCCCTGTCCTTTGAGGGTTGAAGTTAGTGTTTCTTGGCTTTTCTACTAACTGATTGTTTTTCCTGAAGGTAAAGTATGCCTTGATCAGTGCCCAGCGATGTATGATATGCCAAGGAGATATTGCTAGGTACCGGGAGCAAGCCAATGATACCGCAAACTATGGGAAAGCACGCAGGTACTTTTACCTCCACTTCATTATTTCTCTTCCCTATGTGGCTCTAAGCTAAGCCTTACTAAGAACACTAGGCCACTCGAGCTGCCTCCCATATGGGTGTTCTACAGGTGTCCCTATTGGTCCCTGTAGTCATGCCTTACCTCTCCAGGGTTACATCTAACACTGTACCTTGTATCTTAAGTATTAGGGCTATCAGGATGAATTGGGAAAAAGCTAATCCGGAACTAGCATTTTCTTACTGTTTTTCTGTTCTAGTTGGTACCTGAAGGCCCAGCACATTGCTCCCAAGAATGGACGCCCCTATAACCAGTTGGCTTTGCTGGCGGTGTATACGGTAAGAAATCCTGTGGACAGGGGAAGTGCTTTGCAGGAGGTATCTTACAATATGGAGTTTGATAATATCAGTTCCTGGCGCTTCATTTCATCTCATCACTGTAGCCCAAAGAATATCCCCTCAAACTCCTTTCATTACAGTTACTCTCAGAATTAAGTTGTCAGGGATTCCTCACTTCACTTAACTCTGTGCTTTATCTATCCACTTACCACTGCACTTAAATTCCTAAGGGAATGCTTATGCTCCAGCTAAACACCATTGTTTGTTTCTGACCAGAGCTTCTGCTCTGAATTTTGTCTTGATTCTCTTCCCTTTCTGTTGAACTAGACAACTCATTCTGTAAGAAAAACAAGGCTTACTTCTCTCCCTTAAAGTTTGCACCTAGCTCTAAGTAGTCGGATCTTTACTTCCTTTCCCCAGATCCTGTTACTACTTTTAACTTTTTATCTAAGGTGCCTCCATAGCAGAAGTACAGTGAGCGCCAGATTGTACTTCTCTAGGTCTAATCATTGTGCTCTCAATATGTCTCTAATGGAGAAGCAGGCCTTGGGAGCTGAGAGGGCTCCTAGGGAGAAAGCTGAATTCAAGGGGGAAAGTGGGGACCAGTGGTAGGTACCAGAGGTTCGATCATAAAAAGCAGATAAGATGCTCGTTTAGCAAGGAGAAAATTGTCTTTCCTTTTTTTTTTTTTTAGAGAGGCAGGGTTTTGCTCTGTCACCCAGGCTGGAGTGCAGGTGATCCTCCTGCCTCCGCCTCCCGAGTAACTGGGACTACAGGCACACTCTACTGCACCCAGAGAACAAAAAACGTTTTTCTGTAGAGACGGGGTATTGCTTTGTCTCTACAGGCTGGCCTCGAACGCCTGGGCCCAAGTGATGGTCCAGCCTCAGCCTCCCAAGAAAATTCTTAATAATTATGGGTTGAAATAGTTGATTAAGTAATGTGGTTTACTGAAACACTTCTTTCAGAATCTGTTGAATCTCCCTTTTCTGTTTTTACCTCTGTCTTATTCTCTGTGATGGGATTATGGGATTTTTTCCCGCCCCTCTTTGCAGCGTTATTTTTTCTTCCCCTTTTCTCTATATCCATCTTTTCCTCATTCATTCATTGTAATCATTGAACGAAATGTTAATTAGAAAATACAATTAACCATCACCTTTATCTAGTGTCAGAACATTTTCATCACCCGAAAGGAGACCTCATGCCTATGCTTTCCATCCCTCCATCCCCTCAGCCCCTGACAACCACTCGTCTGATTTCTGTCTCTGTATCTGTACCTATTCTGGATGTCTCATGTAAATGGGATCATGTAACATACGACTTTTTGCAGATCTCTAATGATACACGATGTTGAGCATCTTTTCATATGCTTCCCATCTACATATCTTATTCAGTGAGGTGTTCAGATCTTTTGCCCCACCCCCACTTTTTTGCCCATTTTTACAATTGAGTTTTTTTACTTGTTTAAGAGTTCTTTGTATATTTTAGTTACAAGTCCTTTATCAGGTATGTGTTTTGCGTCTGTTTTCTTCCAGACAGTGGCTTGTCTTCGCATTCTTCAGCAGTGTCTTTTGCAGAGCAGAAGTTTTAAATTTTAATGAAATCCATCTTATCAGTTATTTCTTTCATGGGTTATGCTTCTGGTGTTTTATTTAAGAAGTTGTCTTCAAACCCGTGGCTAACTTAATGTTGTGTTACTTTCTAGGAGTTTTATAGTTTTATGTTTTACGTTTAGGTCTGTAATACATTTTGAGTTAATTTTTGTGAAGTGTAAGGCTCGTGTATAGATGTATTGATGTGGGTGAATATACAGTTGTTCTAGCACCATTTGTTGAAATGACTATCCTTAAGGCCGGGCGCGGTGGCTCAAGCCTGTAATCCCAGCACTTTGGGAGGCTGAGACGGGCGGATCACGAGGTCAGGAGATCGAGACCATCCTAGCTAACACGGTGAAACCCCATCTCTACTAAAAAATACAAAAAAAAACTAGCCAGGCGAGGTGGCGAGCGCCTGTAGTCCCAGCTACTCGGGAGGCTGAGGCAGGAGAATGGCGTAAACCCGGGAGGTGGAGCTTGCAGTAAGCTGAGATACGTCCACTGCACTCCAGCCTGGGCGACAGAGCGAGACTCCGTCTCAAAAAAAAAAAAAAAAAGAAATGACTATCCTTTCACCTTTGAATTGCCTTTGCTCCTTTGTCAAAGACCAGTTGACTATATTTGCGTGAGTTTATTTCTGGCCTCTCTGTTCCGATTGATCTATTTGTCTGTTCTTTGCTTAGTACCACACTGTCTTGGTTCCTATAACTATTTATGTTTTGAAGTGCAGTAGTGTCAGTCTTCCACCTTTGTTTTTCAGTATTGTATTGGCTATTCTGGATCTTTTGCCTTCCCATGTAAACTTGAGAATCAGTTTGTTGATATCCACAAACCTAGTGCGTATTAAGTGATAACTCATTGTGGTTTCTTGTTGGATTCTCCTAGCAACTAATGATGTGCATCTTTTCATGTGCTGATTTGCTGTTGAGAGACATATCTGTTCACTTTCATTGCTCATTGAGAAAAATTTTAATTATATATGTATATATATAAGTAATAATAATAATTATTTTTTTTTTTTTTGAGATGAAGCCTCGCTCTGTTGTCCAGGCCGGAGTGCAGTGCTGTAGTTATCTCAACTTACTGTAACCTCCGCCTCCTGGGTTCAAGCTATTCTCCTGCCTCAGCCTCCAGGGTAGCTGGGATTACGGGTGCATACCACCACCCCCGCTATTTTTTTTTGTATTTTTAGTAGAGATGGGGTTTCGCCATGTTGATCAGGCTAGTCTTGAACTGCTGACCTCAAGTGATCCACCTACCTCAGCCTCACACTGGAATTATATGCGTGAGCCATCACACCTGGCAATTTTAATATTTTAATTGTAAAATACTCATAAAATTTACCCTCTTACCCATATATACATGTGTGTATATATATTTAAGAGATAGGATCACACTCTGTCACCTAGGCTGTAGTGCAGTGACGCAGTCATAGCTCACTGCAGTCTCGACCTCCTGGGTTCAGGTGATCCTCCTGCCTTAGCTTCCTGATTAGCTGAGACTACGGGCACACACCACCATATCCAGGTAATATTTTGATGTTTGGTATAGACAGGATCTCATTCCGTTGCCCAGGCAGGTCTTGGAACTCTTGGCCTCAAGTGATCCTCTTGCCTTGGCCTCCCAAACTGCTGAGATTACAGGCATGAGCCATTGCTCCCAGTCACTTACTTTTTTTTTATTTGAGACAGGGTCTCACTTTGTCACCCAGGCTGGAATATGGTGGCATGACCTCAGCTCACTGTAGCCTCGACCTCCCAGGTTCAAGCTATTCTCCTGCCTCAGCCCCCCAAGTAGCTGCCACTACAGGTGCCCGCCACCCCACTTGGCTAAATTTTTTGTGTTTATGGTAGAGATGGGGTTTCACTATGTTGCTCAGGCTGGTCTTGAACTCCTGACTTCAAGCTAGCCACCTGCCTCTGCCTCCCAAAGTGCTGGGATTACAGGCATGAGCCACCGCTCCCGGACTGTCTTGCTCTTTTTCTTTTTTTGAGATGGAGTCTCACTCCGTGGCCCAGGCTGGAGTGCAGTGGCGTGATCTTGGCTCACTGCCACCTCCACCTCCCGGGTTCAAGTGATTCTCCTGTCTCAGCTTCCTAAGTAGCTGGGACCACAGGCTCATACCACCACGCCTGGCTAATTTTTGTATTTTTAATGGAGATGGGGTTCCGCCATGTTGGCCAGGCTGGTCTTGAACTCCAGACCTCAGGTGATCCACCCACCTTGGCCTCCAAAAGTGCTGGCATTACAGGCGTGAGACACCGTGCCCGGCCTGTCTTACCCATTTTTAAGTGTAGCTTCGGTAGCATTAAGTACATTCGTGTTGTAGTGCAACCCGTCTCCAGAATGCTCTTCATTTTACAAAACTGAAGCTGTGTATCTATTAAATAACATTTCCCCCTTCTCTCTTCCCACAACCTCTGCAACTACCCTTCTGCTTTCTGTTACTATGAATTTGGCTACTCTAGATACCTCATGTAAGTGGAATTATGCAGTATTTGTTCTTTTGTGACTGGGTTATTTCACTTAGCTTAGGTCCTCATGGTTCATCCATGTTGTAGCATGTGTCAGAATTTCGTCCTTTTGGAGGGTGAATTATATATTTCATTGTGTATGTATACCACATTTTATATGTGCATTCCCCCATTGGTGGATACTTGTATTGCTTCCATCTGTTGGCTATTGTGAATAATGCCACAGTGAACATGGGTGTTCAAATAAAGTCTCTTCAAGACCCTGCTTCCAATTCTTCTGGGTATGTACCCAGAAAACGAATTACTAGATCATTTGGTAATTCTCATTTTAGTTTTTTAGAACAACCATATTGTTTTCCATAGCAGCTACACCATTTTATATTCCAGCCTACAGCACGCAAGGCTTCTGATTTCTCCACTTTCTTGCCAACACTTATTTTCTGCTTTTCTGATAGTAGCCATTGTAATGGTGGTGAGGTGATATCACATTATAGTTTTAATTTGTTTCCCTAATGATTAGCATTTTTTCATATGCGCATTGGTCATTTGCATATCATATTTCCAGTCCTTTCTCCATTTAAAAATTGTTATTTTTTGTGTTGTCAAGATGTATGAGTTCTTTATATATTCTGGATGCTAGACCTTTATTAGATATATAATTTGCAAACATTTTCTTCCATTTTGTGGATTGTCTTTTCATTCTCTTGAGAATATCCTTTGATGCACAAGTGTTTTTTAATTTTGTTGAAGTCCAGTTTATCTTTTTTCTTTTGTTCCTTGCACTTTCGATGTCATAGCTATGAAACCATTACCAAATCCAAGGTTTAGAAAATTTACCTCTTTATTTTCTTCTAAGAGTTTTAGACTTTTACCTCTTGTATTTAGGTCTTTGATTAATTTTAGGTTAATTTTTAGATATAGTATGAGGTAAAGGTCCAACTTCATTCTTTTACATGTGGTTATTACATTCTATCAGCACCATTTGTTGAAGAGACTGTTCTTTCTTCATTGAATAGTCTTGGTTCCCTTGTCAAAAGTCACTTTATATGTGGGTTTGTTTCTGAACTCTTAGTTTTCTTCCATTTTTTTATATGTCAGTCCTCATGCCAGTACCACAGCTGTTTTAGTTACTGTAGGTTTGTGGTAAGAAAAATTGGGAAATGTGAGTCCCCTAACTTTGTTACTTATTTATTTATTTATTTTTTCCAAGACTGTTTTGGCCATTTGAGGTCCCTTGTAATTGCATATGGATTTTAGGATCAGCTTTTTCATTTTTGCAGAATCATTGGAATTTTGATAAGGATTGCATTGAATCTGTAGATTGCTTTGGGAAGTATTGCCATCTTCAAAATATTAAGCCTTCTAATTCATGAACACAGGGTGTCTTTTTATTTACTTCCTTCTTTAATTTCTGTTAATCCTGTGTATAATAAGTTTTGCACTTCCTTGGTTAAATATATTCCTTAGTATGTCATTCTTTTTGATGCTTTTGTAAAAAGAATTGTTTTCTTTTTTTCTCTCTTTCTGTTTTTTTTTTAGGCAGGGTCTCGGCCAGGTGGGTTGGCTCACATCTGTAATCCTAGCACTTTGGGAGGCTGAGGCGGGCAGATCACTTGAGGTCAGGAGCTCCAGACCAGCCTGGCCAACTTGGTGAAACCCCATCTTTACTAAAAATATAAAAATCAGCCAGTTGTGGCAGCACACACCTGTAGTCCCAGCTACTCGGGAGGCTGAGGTGGGAGAATTGCTCAAGCCTGGGAGTTGGAGGTTGCAGTGAGCTGAAAGCGTGCCATTGCGCTCCAGCCTAGACGACACAGCGAGGCTTCGTCTCAAAAAAGAAAAAAAAAAGAATGTCTCTCTATGTTGCCAAGGCTTCTCTTGAACTCCTGGCTTCAAGTGAGCCTCCTCCCTCTGCCTCCCAAAGTGCTAGGATTATAGGCCTGAGCCATTTTGCCCAGACAGAAATTGTTTTCTTAATTTCCTTTTTTCAGATTGCTCATTGCTAGTATATAGAAATGTAACTGAATTTTGTGTGTTGATCTAGTATGCTGCAACTGTGCTAAATTCCCTCAATGGCTTTTTGTCATTTGGGTTAAATTTTCTTTTTCACAGACCTCTGACCTAGATTAGCACTTCCTTCAAGTTCTTTTCCTCTATCCCTCTTTTTTCTGTCTGTCTCCTCTTCGTTGTCTGTTAGCAACATTTTCCCAACTTTTCTGCTACTTCCAGTCAGTCAGTCATTCTTTCTCTTCCAATCAGTGAATCTCAGGTATTTATTAAGAACACAGCACATGTACAGTGCTTTGCTAGATGCCGGGAATGATAAAATATTGACTTGCTTTCTTCCCTGAAAAAAAAAGTGTGTTGAGAAAACAAGTGAGATGTATAGACAGTGATACAAATTAGACTTGATAACTGTGTAATTGATTGTTAGATGCACCATTATCTTCTGTCCACTGAGAAGAATGCTGCAAATTACAATAAGACACAACAATAGATACTGATTGTAAGTTGTATCTCTGTTTTGGAAATTTTTTAATATGAAAAAATATTTTGATAGAATACAGTCTCGAATCAAGTGAGTAGGGTAGATAGAAATTAGTATGGATTGGAATAATAATAAAAACAGCTACCACTTAACTGTAATAGTGTGCCAAATATTCTGTTAAACTATATGCATTATATAAGTTTAATCTTTTTGGGAGACATATGTTGTAAACATCTCCATTTTGCAAGTAAGGAAACTTCTCTAGGTTAACGTGCTTAGTGTCATACCTAACAAATGCAAGACCAATTTCAGACTCAGGCATTTGACCTTAGAACCTGTGCCTTTAGCCATGCCAGATGAATACAAGATAGGAGTTTTGAAGGATGAGTAGACGCTGGGGAGAGAGAGAAGCTAGTATTTTAAATGTATTTTGAAACAGTTATGGAAAACAGTGAAAATGTACATGAAGTTGGAGAAAAAGTGAGAAAGCCTTTTGGATATTCTTTCTACCTTTGTTTCAATGTTTTCCTTTTTCCTTCTTTCTGACCCACTTCCTTTTTCTTCTTCGTTTCCCTATTAATTGCTTATAAATAGACTTGCTGAATTTATTGAATAATATCCATAAAATGTTCAACCCAACTACTAATTATTTATTTTTAAAAATTATCAATAACAATGACAACATCATTGATTAAGTACAGTTAAGTGTGAGACAGTGGCCAACTCTTCGTAAGCCTGAGGATACTCCTCCATTGGGTATTATTACTCCCACTGTAGTGTTGAGGATATGGGAGCTCAGGAAGATTATTACATAATAATGTAATAACCTTGGAGACTTTTGTCCAAAGTCTCCAAGTCAACTCCTGGATTAGCCAGTATTTGGACCAAGGTCTGTCTGGCTTGTAATTTCGTGATTTCATTATACCATGCTGACTGTCTGATAAGAATAGGAAATATAAAGTGAGTTGAACATCATACTT